GGATATATATATATATATATATATATATATATATATACAGGATGATTCTAAAAAGATGAGCAAAATTTTAGGAAGTGATAGTACACACCCAAGCAAACAATTTTTATCAAAGAATGCATGGTTGAAAACAAAACGCAAAACTGCTAGAGGGCGTCAAAGTTTATGTTCTTATATGAGGCAAAAACACAGTAAGAACGATGAAATTAAGTTATAAAAGCAAATTCAATGGCATGTGATTACAATAAGTGTTCAAAGCTGTGGCCGGCAGCGGCCATGCAGGCAGAACAACGGCGAAGAAAAGAAAGGCGAACATTCTGAAGCACACCAGGCATATCACGAACTTTTCCTGCAGCGTCCGAAAGCTTGGCGACAAGTAACGCAGCTCAGTAACTCGCAACAGGAATGGAGCTTTCGCGTATGTGTCAAACAACTTTCCAAATTCGCCAGCACCTTTGCATTTTGTTTTCGACCATGCATTCCTTGATAAAAATTGTTTGCTTGGGTGTGTACTATCACTTCCTAAAATTTTGCCCATCTTCTTAAAATTACCCTGTATATATTGAAGAAAATGTAAATCAAAATGAATTAGTTACCTGATTACCTGACATGAATCAGATAAAGACATTATAGCAGGAAAAAACCAAACAGCATCTCATAAATTTTCACAAAAGAAAGAACACAAAAATTTAAATTTAAATGGAAATAGAGTTTATCTACTTCAGTGTTTATCATTTGTTGCTTTATTCAGTACCTCTAGCGTAAAAACGGAAATCAGTCTAGTTTTACAGCTTCCATCAGCACCAGCATTAATTATTTGCTACTTTATTTAGTAACTTTGACAAGAAAGCAGAAATCAGTCTAGTTTTACTGATTTTTGCTCACCATTAATTAATTGTTAATTTATTCAGTAACTTTGGCGTGAGAATGGAAATCATCGAGTTTTACAGATTCCTTCTACACCAGCCTTAATTATCTCTTTATTCAGTAACTTTGGCGTGAGAATGGAAATCAGTTCAGTTTTGAGGATTCCTTCTACACCAGCGTTAATTATTTGTTACTTTATTCAGTAACTTTGACGTGAAAACAGAAGTCAGTCTAGTTTTACTGATTTCTACTAAATCAGCATTAATTATTTGGTACTTTATTCAATAACTCTGGCGTGAGAACGGAAATCATCTAGTTTTACAGATTCCTTCTATGATAGGCCTGGTTCCATGATAGGCCTGGCTTAAATCTTGCTGCCACACTCTAAAGGTCTATATCTAAAATTTCAACGTTTTATTTCTCACAATACATATATTTTTGCAAAATATGGCATAAGTATGTACATTTCAAGGGAAAGTAATTTCTTTATGTGTGGAGCTCCAGCCGCAATAACAATTTGATTTCCAATTTAACAACTAATTTTTTCATTATATTGTTATTTTTCTTTCTCTCTCCTCCCTCTACATATTCTTCGAACTTCAACAAAAATAATTGTCTGAAACATGGGTTTATCTATTAAAAAAACTACCTATTACAAATTTCCAATTACAGTAATTACTTAGATATTGTAGCTATTTTCTATTAACCTACCAATCAAGATAAAAAATTAAAAAAAAGAAACTCGCAACTAGTAAATACCTTCTACAGACAGACTATTGTAAAAATAAGTTTCTTGGTGAAAATTTGAAAAATTAGTAACCGAATTCTCATTTGCAATGTTTGAAGTTTTGTTATCTTTGCATCTTGTTATTTTTCGAAAATTTAATGCTCAAATTTGATTCGCCTATTTATAGATTGACCCTTATAGAAGAGAATTTGTGCATAAATATAGACTTATAGGTTTAAAATTGTAAATTTACTCACTAAATTAAACTAATAACATTTATACTTTAACCCCTAATGATCCGTAAATATTTTAAGTTTTGTTAAAATATAGAAATTATTTATATTAATTGCAATTACAGGTATAGACTTATAGGTTTAAAATTGTAAATTTACTCACTGAATTAAACTAGTAACATCTATACTTTAGCCCCTAATGATCGGTAAATATTTCAAGTTTTGCTAAAATATAGTAATTATTTATATTAATTGTAATTACAGGTAATTATAGACTTATAGGTTTAAAATTGTTAATTTACTCACTAAATTAAACTAGTAACATTTATGCTAATGATCCGTAAATATTTGAAGTTTTGTTAAAATATAGTAATTATTTATATTAATTGTAATTACATAATTCACACTAATAAAATTAATTGTAAATAGGAGAACAATAAGGGTGATAAAAATAATGCATGATTCTTGCCTCATTATAAGTGACATTGGAACCATTAAAAAAAAATTCCATTCCTCTTTAGTTCGAGGCATTATCTATTTTTATGAAAAAAGATCAAACTTTGGCTGCCTTTCACAAATACCTTACCAGTATAGGAATTAAATTTTCTTATAGTTTAAAAAAATTAAATATCATGATTTTACCTTCGAATTATATATTCTTCTTAATTTACCCTCTTTCAAAAATATTCATTTCCTAATGTCTATATTATAATGCGGCATAAAATCAACATAATGCAGTCTTCCTTCAGTCTGTAATATAATAAGGCTTCACAATATTTCTCCTTCTTTTCTTGAATCAACTCATTGTCGATACCCGAATATTCTAAATGAAAAATATAAAGAGGCATATAAACACAAAGAAATACAGTAGAAAAAATAGTTTATTTCAACTCCAAAGACGGCTGCTTCTTGTATTGTTCGCGAGTCGAGACGTGACGTTCCCATAGAAACCAACAACTATGTACTGAACCCTACTTTTAGGCTTTGTTTCTTCTTATTTTTCATATTGTTGGGAACACTGGCTTCTTCTCTAGTGATACATGAAACTTTTTTCTCTTTGAAATGCTTTCGAAATTGAGTAAAGAAAAATGTTAGTATACTATATAAGAGAACAAAGAGAAATGGAGTAAAATGTGTCGTGTTTCCACAAATTTTAGAAAGAGAACTGAGAATAAGTTGAAATTCTCGAAATAAACTAGTTTTTTGTTTTCATCGTTAGTAGTAATAATGTATTTCGATATTTTTTGAAGTTTCTGTATTTTTTAATGTTCTGGTAAATAAAGAGTATTGGATGTTTTAAAGCATTTTATATAAAATATTTTAAGATAAAAATGTTTGTGCAAATATTTAGTATTATAACTTATTTTTTGTTGCCAGAATGGCATCAAAGTTCAGATTGGCCCATGAGGCAAAAAAAATTTCGTATGTGCACAAGTAAAAAATGTCATCTGTACACAAATTTTAAAATGAGAAATTCAATGAAAAATTAGTTAAAATCCCTATAGAAACCAACAACTATGTACAGAACCCTACTTTTAGCCTTTGTTTCTTCTTATTTTTCATATTGTTGGGAACACTGGCTTCTTCTCTAGTGATACATGAAACTTTTTCTTTCTTTTTGAAATGCTTTCGGATTGAGTAAAGAAAAATGTTAGTATACTATACAGGGTGTCTCAGTTAAGCGTTTCAGAACTTCTAAGAGGGGTAGGGGGCATCCTGACGACTCGAAATCATATAGCAATGTGGGGTCGGAAATGCTTTCCTGAAGCGGTGACGTACACAGAAGCACCATAAAGAAAAGAGACCGTAAGTGAAAAATCGCTATAATAATACATTGAAAAAATTATATGGCCTCCTCGGTCACCCGACCTATCATGTTTTGACTTCTGGAGTCATATGAAAACACTGGTTTATGACACCCCTGTTGATAATGCTGGTTGCAAGAATCGCAGTAGCTGCCTGCGAGATATGCCTGGAGTATTGCTGAATGTTCGGATGTCCATGAGCCGGAGATGTGAGGTGTGAATTGTAGCCGGTGGCAGAAACTTCGAACACTTACTTTGACCCATGTACCTAATGCTTATTTCAATGTATTATTATAGCGATTTTTCACTTACGGTTTCTTTTCTTTATGGTGCGTCTGTGTACGTCACCGCTTCAGGAAAGCATTTCCGACCCCGCATTGCTATATGATTTCGAGTCGTCAGGATGCCACCTACCCCTCTTAGAAGTTCTGAAACGCTTAACTGAGACACCCTGTATAAGAGAAAAAGAGAAATGAAGTAAAATGTGTGTCGTGTTTCCACAAATTTTAGAAAGGGAACTGAGATTAAGTTGAAATTCTCGAAATAAACTAGTTTTTTGCTTTCATCGTTAGTAGTAATAATGTATTTCTATATTTCTTTAAGTTTCTGTATTTCTTTTTATGTTCTGGTAAATAAAGAGTATTAGATGTTTTAAAACGTTTGATATAAATATTTTAAGATAAAAATATTTGCACAAATATTTAGTATTATAGCTTATTTTTTATTGCCAGAATGGCAGCAAAGTTCAGATTGACCCAGGCGGCAAAAATTATGTAACACATGTCGTATGAGCACACATTTTTTTAGAAAAAAATTCAATGAAAAATAAGTTAAAGTGCAGGAATTAAATTTTATTATCGTTCAAAGAATTGAATATTATGATTTGACCATTAAAATACATTTCTTTCTTAATTTACCCTCTTGCAAAAATATTCATTTCCTAATGTCTATATTATAATGCGGCATAAAATCAACATAATGCAGTCATCCTTCACTAT